CAGGTGTTCATTACATCTCAAACGAATAGGGCGCACGAACTCCTCGACACAGACTATATTCCCTCCATGCTTGTCGCACAGTTCACACTTAATTTCGTAAACGCGGCTGCTTTGCGTGCGAACCCTTTGAAAGTCAATATGCATAAATAACATCTATTGCCACCCGGGCTCTTAGGCTTCGAGATGGAAGATATCGCCAAATACTTTTTTGGCTTATTGTCGTTCTTCCAAGTCATCCGTACGCACAGTTTTAATTTTCTCACTATATCTTTTATTTTCCAAAGCAAGTGCTCACCTATGTAAGATAACGTTGAAAATTCGTCGTCCGAAAGAACGTGCTCCTGCCTCCTACCACCTATCACCCTACGCGCTCTAATGTTTTTTTTACCTCTTCCAATGTTCTACCTAAAAACCGTGAAGAATATCCATCGCCTAACAGCAAAGTCCACATTTTGTCTTGTCTTGTTTTTGTCTTCCATTTTTACTTCTTGATGACTTGCTTAGAGCCCTATGGAGCATGTTACGAATTATGTTGTGCTTAGTGGAAGTTGGATGCGCAGATTCGCAGTGCAGAATTACACCAGAGTTGGCAGGCTTGATAAGGAGCTCCGTTTCTAACGCTGTGCGGTTGTTTCTCCCTTCCCCGACACTAGCGTATCCAAATATGGGACCCCCTTTCCGTCCCCTGTATTCCGTCGTAAACACTAAATTTGGATGCTGACTGTTCATGAACTCACCAAAATCTTCAAGGGCAGGGGTTTTAATGGACTGGCAACCTGGGCCTTTATTTGAAATTGGTCTAAAAATATAATCAACAGAGGAGAGGCGCATGGCTTCCCCATTGCTATGCTTAATTTCTGTCGATCGTAGTCATCTCTGAACGAGAAAATATTATCCTGGAGACACTGTTCTAAATGGCTGCAGAACGTTAAATAATGTAATAATTTGCAATGTAATGTCCTATGCCATTTAAAACCAATTGTGTTGCATTTCTAGCGATCATGGCTTCGTTTGGTACAACTCGTCATTCTAAGCATCTATTGTTGTCGGTATCACTAGTTCAAGTTTTACAGCATACCTCTATGAGAGCGCGCTGTCTCAATCTTACCCCATTTGGTTTGTTTTGCCGCTGCAAATAATTTGGAATGCTCCGAACTTTACTTACGACATCATGCTTTGACACGTGGCTTGATAAAAATGCACAAATGCATTTTCTAGAAAATTGCTCAGAACTTTGCTTGTTTTCTTTTTTGCCTGATCTCTTAAATTGCCGTTGTTACGGACCATTGTGGTTTACTTACTGGGCCATCACTTATTTTTTATCGGTTATCAATTCCTATAAAAAACATTGCGTTTCGTTGAATATCTGGTGCTATTAGACTATTCCAGAAACATCCACTTCGGCAAATCTTTAATCAACACATGTGCTTTCATTAGTTCTTAACCATGCAGCAATGTCGACAGGGCCATGGATCCTCCGGTATCGCACAATTGAAACTGCTGGCGTTTGCTGATCTGTAGTTTCGACTCCACGGTCTCAAGCGAACGGTTCGGCGGCCAGTTATACGGCTGCAGCTGATATCCGGCCAGCAGCACGTGGCCGGACATCAGCTGCAGCCGGCGGGGAGTCGCCAAGTAAACCCTGTGTGCGCCGTTCGTGACTGATGTGACATCCAGCGGCATGCCGACACTCCGGAGGCCACACATATCTGCCGGTGTGTAGTCGATGCGCATGGCAAGAAGTGGCGTGGACGCTCCGACACTGCAGGGTTGAAACTAATGTCGTTTGCTATTCTGACTGCTTTGATGTTACGGTCTCAGGCTAGCCTTGGTGGCTGCAGTGTTGCCAGCGGTAGCCGGTGCTCCGCATAGTATTTGCTTGCGTTTGGGACTGCTGTTGTCACCTCGGGCTGTCAAATGTAACAAAATAAACTTGTCACTGATATGTTGGTCAAGCTCGCCGATAGCCGTTCATTGCTGACCAGAACAACTACGACTCTCAGCAAGGCTGGCGGCTGCCTTGGAGTGTTACAATGCCTGGATTCTTCATTTTTCCTAAAAAATCGCTTTCACAAAACGTGCGGTCAATCTTAACGCGTGTATTCGACATCAAACGCACCAGTGTGCGGACGGGGCTGAACAACATTCACGTTTTGTCACCCAGCGCACACACAGGCGAAGAAGCAAATATAGGTGCAACTTCATGACACTGCGGTATATCGAAACCCCATGCTACAAGCGCAGTATACAAACGTCCCTGCAGCTCCCAACTATGACTACTGTGCGACAACAAACGACACCATCTGCCAAGAGACTGTGTCTGCTCTCCAGCTGCAGGAATCTGAACATGTCCGATCGCCGTTGCACCTGCACTTCCCACGACAACAGCTAACCCTTCACGAGGGGAGGGCGAGGCACGCAGATGGCCGTCCACGGATGTGACTGGGTTATCAGCGCGCACACCTGGGAGACGAAGCACGAGGGACGACACGGCGGCAGACAGAGGTTGCCAAAGGAAGTCCGGCAGCACTTCCAGAACCCGCCGTGATGGCTGGCGTTGCAATGGCAGTCTTTAAAACACTCATTCCTCTTCGAACGGACGGTGAATAGCAGACGGTGACTGGGACACAGGCCTGGCCTGACACCTGAAAAAACAGATTCAGATGAAACGATTCCGTAAATTTTATAGTTGCGAATTACGGCCGTTTAATCTGGCGACATAAATGAGAACCAGCCGAGAACCAGCCGAGATAATATATATATATATATATATATATATATATATATATATATGCATGAAATAAGTATCTTTACGCACGCACACACACACACACACACACACACACACACACACACACACACACACACACACACACACACACACACACACACACACACACACACACACACACACACACACCACACACACACACACACACACACACACACACACACACACACACACACACACACACACATATATATATATATATATATATATATATATATATATATATATATATATATATATATATTTATATATATATATATAGCGTTGCTAAAAACCTTGGCGTAAGTGCATTTAATAAGTGTTTCTGCGCTTGCTCTAGTTTTCTGATTACGGTTGCCTGTCCACCATTGACATCATCTTGAACAACCAGATGAGGGGTAAGACAGGTGGAACCAGATAAGACAAACAGCTCAGGTGGATCCAAGACAAGACAAACAACCGACCGTTCATCTGCATTATCAAAATGTTATGACATCTCCCCACAAACAAGACGAAAAAGCTCTGCGGGAAATCATCTCTTGA